GTGCTCTATAAAGTGGTCTCCGAGGTGGGGGCTAATACCAGTGTTACAGCTGAAGAGGGTCTCTTCCACATATCCTATGAAGAGGCAGGCATAGTTTGGGCCCATGCGCGTGCCCATGGTCACCCCCTTCATCTGTTGGAAGTGGGAGGAGTTAAAGGAGAAGTTGTTAAGGGTAAGGACGAGTTTGGTTAAGTGGATGAGGGTGTTGGTGGAGGGGTCTGGTTGGGCCAGCCGGAGAGGAAGAAGTTCAGTTCTTCAGAAATGGGGGTGGGAGGGGAGAAGGGAGCTCAGAAATAAATGGAGGGAGGAGGGGTGGGGCTAGGGAAGGTAGGTGGGATGGTGATAAGTGAGTGCAGTAGGGAGTGGTGGGGATTGGTCAGTGCGATGGGAGGGGCAGAGAAGTGGGAGAGAAGATGGACAGGTTGTGTCAGGTCAAGGAGGCGGGGATGAGATGGAGAGTTGGTCATGGAATGAGGCCAGGGGTGGAGAGATTTTGACACTGGTAAAATCCACATTTAGGCCATTGGGCTGTAGGCTCTTGGGGTGGAATATGAGGTGCTGCTCCTCCAGTTTGCAGGTTTTCCCTTCTTCAGAAATGGGGGGGTTTCCCTTCTTCAGAAATGGAGGGAGGGTTTCCCTACTTCAAAAATGTCAACTTTCCTGCTCCTCTGATTCCTCCCTGTTGTGTTCCTCCAGCTCCACACTGCCTTATCTCTTGACTCCAGCATCTGCAGTTCCGACTATCTCTACTCAAATTCAATGTTTAGTTTTCCCTCGCTATTCAAACACAATATTCTTACAATATGCTTAAAACAGAAATTAAACATTCCCATTTGATCGCAAACATTAATGGTTCTTGTTAGCAAGTTGTTTTACAATTCGGTATCTCAGGCTTCCAAAGGTGTAAAAGTAACTTACTAAATTTCTTTAGCCATTTCACTTCTCAAGAAAACGCAAATTCATGACAACATATTCCCTTCAGAATTTGTCACCTTCCCATAATTTCTAATGTATGTATTCATTCTTGTTATTGACTGAACATTTAATGCTGAATGCACTATGACTGATACACCATTCGCTCACACTTCTTTTGTCAATTCTTGTTGGGGTGCAACTGTTTGGCAAAGTTCTTCACAAGGAATCCTTGACAGAACCCAGAAGAGGTGGAACCATATTTGATCTCATCCTTCCAACCTGCCAGCTGCATATGCATCAGTCCACGACAGAGCCAGTAAAATTCACTAACGCACAGTCCTTGTGGAGACATAGTCTTGACTCCACATCAAGAATACCCTCCATTATGTTGCGCAGCACTATTGCCATGATGAATGGGATGGACTTACTTCATTTGCCCAGTGTCTCAATTGACTCCAATATCATTTTGAAAGCATCTTATACCTTCTTAAAAGTTTCAGTGTCATTATAATTTGCAAAATTATCTATTTTCTCTTCCGCAATGCAGAAAACTGATTTTAATCTCTAATCTGCCTCACCTAAACTTTTACATTTTATTTAAGCTTATATACTGACAGAAGACTTGTGAATTTTTAGTTAACTGTGATTCTATCCACTGAGTTTATATATTTATGCATTATTTCTTTTCTGTCAATTGCTCTGAACTTGCTACAATAAATCGGCATCACAAATGTATCATTAATTTGGTGTCCCTTCCTTCTTCAAACTCTTATTCTTCATCTCTTTCAGCAACAAGGGAACTTTCTAAAACATTTCTTGCTTTGGTTTCCCAACTAGACTGTCTTCTCATACCTGAATCTGCTCAAGTGCAAGTATATCCAACCACAGGAAAGGAGATTGAAAACTTTCACATTATTATAACTGAGGTCTGATAGAAATCAAACACTTTGCATAAATAACTTGTTAGTTTCATGCCACCAAATCCCTTTTAATAAATGGTTATGCACCTTTCATACACATCTTGCTGTTACTTGCACACTTGCTTTCATTCATTCTTGTACAAAGACCAAAAATTCTACTGCATACAAATATTTAGCAGATAATCACCACTAAGCGATACTCTACTTTTTGTATTATAGAAGCAAAGATTTCCTGCAGTCTGCAAGCAGGAAATTTGGCCCATTGATTCTATACCAACCCTCCGAAGGGCATCCCACCCAGAACCAACCCTCTACGCTATCCTTGTAATCCTGCATTTCCCATGACTAACCCACCTAGCCTGTACATCCCTGGACACTGTGGGCAATTCAGTATGGATAAACCACCTCATCTGAGCATCTTTGGACTGTGGGAGGAAACTGGAGCACCGGGAGGAAATTCATGCAGACACGGGAGAATGTGCAAACACCACACAGACAGTTGCCCCAGGATGGAATGAAATCTGGGTCCCTGGAGCTGTGAGGCAGTAGTGCTAACCACTGAGCCACTGAGCTGCCCTAATTATGTCAAAATAATTTATAATCTCACACTTGTCACAATATACAATTTGTCAACACATTAGCAAAAATGGTTTGTGTTGTTTGGTATTCTATTCATAGCCTTAATTGCAGATTCACTCACTTTGCTTCCGAAAATTTCATTGTGAGCAAACGTTGATACATTCGCAATGGCCACTTCATTTCTGGCTGACATCAAATTGAAATAGCTGATGTCCAGACTCAGTAATTTGGTTTACCCCACCACTTAGTCTCTATGAATGCTAAACATGGCCCTTCTTTAAAAAAAAAAGTTCTGCTTTCTGTTTGTTGCCGATCAGCTAACCTTATACCCTCAGAGACTGAATTCATGTTCATGGTGCTGACCGATCTTACACGTGACACAGGAAGAAACACTGTTAACGTTACAGAACATGAAATAATAAGATATCTGCAATTGAAAAATTGCAAACAAAACTTGCTCAAAAACAACAAAATCATGCTTGTGATATGGCAAAAAACTTTTCCTACACCTCCTTAAGTACTATTATTTCATCATAAACTCCTTTGTGGACCTTATGTTTTAGTTGTTTAAAATCCAAATCGTTGTGAGATACCCCCAGTTCTCCCTCATCTGTGTTTTTATTTACACACAAAGAAAACTACATAGGTTCATATGAACAATGGAATTAGAAGCAAGGGTAGGTCAGTCAGTATCTCTAGCCTGCTCTGTTATTCCGAAGATTCAATAAAATGACTGGTATGAGAAGGCAAGGCCATTTAGGAGACCAAATCAAAAAAGCTGCACACACAAGGTCACAGTGAATCTGACTGTAGCTTCAATCCAGATTCAAACAGTACCCTGATATCCTTTCACCTCTTTGCTCCACCAGAATCTATTAATCTGAGACGTTAAAATATTCAAGAATATTTCTTCTGTGATCTTTTGAGGAAGACCGTTCCAAAAACTCCTTGATCTCTGAGAGAAAATAAAAGTCTATCGCTGTTTTAAATGGTCAAATTCTAATTTTTTTTAAACCATGTCCCTAGTTCTAGATTTTCCCTTGGGAGGAAACATCACCACATCTACCTTGTCAAGACCCCTTAAGATTTTATATGTTACAATCAATCAACCTGTTCCTCTTTGCAGCTGTCCAATCTTTTCCCACAAGACAAACAGAATTTGTCATCATCTGTGTTGCCTGTCCCTAGCCAATTCACAACTTTCCAAGCAGTCTTTCAAAAGTCTTCAAATTAATAATTCATTTTAATGGTTGTGTACTTGTAGGTCACATAATACATTCATGTCAATAGCAAATTCACAATGAAACTATTTTGTGAGATTTGTTTGCTATATTTTTCGAATCAATTGAGTCTGGATGAGTTTTTAAAATATAATCGGTGAAGCATTGTAGTTTATTTGGAAGCTTTATTAGTTATATTCCATTTTTGAGAAAACAATAAACAAAAATATTTAAAGAACTGCTTAGGCATGTATCAACACAATCAGTTCAAATGTAAATTGATTTCTTTCTCTAATTTCATTTTCACTTCAATAAAGAATAACTTTACATTTTCATTGTTCAGAAACATTCGCCTGTCTCTGTGGCGCAATAGATTACGGTGTTTGGCTGTTAACCAGAAGGTTGGAGTTTTGAAACCACCCAGAGATGAAGGCCTGCCTCGGTTTGTGGTGGGACAGTGGCTCAGTGGGTTAGCACTGCTGCCTCACAGTGCTAGGGGCCTGGGTTCAATTCCACCCTAGGGTGACTGTCTGTGTGGTGTTTGCACGTTCTCCCGGCGTCTGCTTGGGCTTCTTCCGGGGGCTCCGGTTTCCTCCCACAGTCTAAAGATGTGCATGCTAGGTGGATTGGCAATGGTACATTGCCCTTAGGCTTCAGGGATCTTTGGATTAGGGAGATGGGTCTGGGTACGCAGCTCTGAGGGTCAGTGTGGTCTTGTTGGACCGAAGGGCCTGTCCCCACACTGTGGGGGTTCTAAGATTCCATTCATGAGTCATTCCATCTTGTCCTATTACAATGAGAGTGCAATGCTAAACAATGGGGGATAAAGGCTGGAGCATCAGTCTGCACTGTCTGCGATCAGTGCCACTCTACATTGAATTAAAATTTGTAGAAGATACTGCCAATTATTAACTGAGCAAAATGAACCATCAAAATATGAGGCAGATGAGCAATTGGATCTCTTCAGCTTTCTGGATATTGAAAAATCAACACGACCATTGTCATAATAACAACAAGAGGACAAACAGGATTAAAACTACTGCCACAATGAAAGCAGAATGAACTATCAATTCATGCCAGAAAAGACAGTGAAATACAAACAAGTTAAAGACAATTAACCAACAGAAACCTTGTGAACATTTGTCACAGTAATGCCCATCATTTCGAGGTCAAAATGCAGTGACTGGAGAAAGGGAATGAAAATATTGTGTTACCAATACAAGCGGAGGTATAAATATCTGTTGATACACAACCACAACAGAAAAATGCTCAATAATAATTTTAATGATGTATTTGTCAAAATTCGTGCAGATTTAAAGACAGTATGGAAATCCAAACCAGTTGGAAATAACTGAATTGATGCATGAATTTTCAAGCTGAAATGAAGTGGATCCAGGTGACATTACATGAAGGGAAGAAATTAATCTACAGTTTTGCAAATTTACAACAGACTTACATGAGGAAAACAACAGCTTAAAATTCATAAGAAACATAAACATCTCTGTGATGCAATCTCTGCTTCTATCTTTTAAGCATATTTTCATTTGCCCAATTAAGCGGCTGCTTTTCACCCCTGCATACACTGGACTTTTTTCTTGGTGCTTGGGTTTCGATGATGTACCGGAAACATTGAATTTCAGAGCAAGATAAGTCAGCCTGCTATCTGTCATACTTTGTTTTGTCTGAAAAATAACATTGGTTTAAATGAATGGTAATTCAGTCTCATTCTAGATGAAAATTACACAAAGCAATTGTCAACATCATCTCCAAATCAACTCATTATGATGAATGAACTGATACTTTACACATATGATCTGCAATGTACCTCTGCATATCCTGTGATTTCTTTCCGTTTTTTAGGCATTATGCCATCCTCAGAATCAACTAGATTAAGAGCAGTGTATGTCAGCTTATCCTCAGGCATAACAAGGTGTAGAGCTGGATGAACACAGCAGGCCAAGC